AGAACTGCATCACCTCAAGCTGCAAGAAAGGTTTTCCACCCTCTCTGTGGTGGAAAGTGACGGGGAAGAAGCCTTCAGCCACGTAAATTTATCACTTAATACACACTTTTTATTGAATGTGTAGCAGGATTAGAATGTTCAGGTTGTTTTAATATTGAAAGCTCACTGTTTTGTTTTCTTTGTTGTATTTGTTATATAAGAAGAGTGAAATGAGAATGTTTTCCTTCTCTCCCTGAAGTTTAATTTTGAAAGTCTTGAAGAAAGTCAAGGTCATTTTAAGTTGCTAATGATTCAGAGAAGGGTTATCCCAGCCTTCAAGAATATTACAAAAGAACTAGAGAACTACAAAAGAATTTGAGAAAAAATGAAAGCGAGGATACCTCTGAAGGAAGCCAAAGAGAGAAGAGGGGTTTTCTAAAAATAAAAGGAGGGCAGAGGAGATGAGAGGGGCTGACGGGATTTAAAATGAGACCTCAGAAGTGACCTTGGGGAAGTTTCCAAGAAGAGAAAGAGCCTAAGCCTGGGAAGTAGTGGGTGGGCAGATACAGAAAAGGACCTCTGGTTCCCAGGAGCCATTTGGAAGCTGACTCACCCAGAGACTGCCCAACTTTCACTAAGGAAATCATGTCACAGGATAATTACTAATCAAATAAAAAATATCAAAGTGAAAATAAATATCAGTGATGAAGGAAACACAAATCAATGTCTTCAAAAAATCAAATGGGAAGCTGAAAGTCAGCACTGAATAAGAGAACAGAGAGAGCTCTCCTAAAGGAGGAATAATTATCACAAAATGTCCAGAGCACAAAACAGAGGAAAATGAATTTTATCAATTGCCATGAATTACTTTGTTTGATATGGAATTAGGATGAAGAAAACAGTACAACACCAAAGAAAAATAATGACTTGGATAATTAGCTCTTATTTGAAGCTTTCTGGTGAAGGGGCATAACTCCCTTTTCTAGAGCTAATGTTTCTATTCTGTTCTAATTAGGGCCAAAATGGTTCTCTTGAATTCACAACATTTTTTACAGACTGTATTGAGCTTCTCTTTATTCCTCTCCAAAATACTACTACCTTTTATTTGTTAGTCCAACATATAAAGCAAATTTTATTTGTGTTAAAACCTGAGTAGAAAGAACTGGCTTCTCTTTTAACTAATCCTCTCACCTAGAGACGCTCAGACAACTACTTTTGTAACCCTCTGGGATGTGTAAGTCATTTACTCGTTTACTCTGGTCTGCTTCTACTTGCTTCTTGAGATAGTCATGATTCTCCAAAGTCTAAGTCATCTTCCTCCTCCTCCTTTAGGCTTCACTCTTATTCCCTAAGGACTTTTGAGTGGGGGCAGTGTGACATGAGGCTGTTACTGGAGCCTAACAATTTTTTAAGATTGATTGATTTTTTTTCATCTCGATTATATGGGAAATGGTTATGCCTTACTCTATCACATCATTTTAAGCAAATACCAGAAAAGAACAGTTGCTCTCTTCCCTTAATCCCATAGTCTGAAAGATCTCACCATATCATTGAGTTTGCTACTTCTATTTTTACACTTTTCATTTAGAACTCAGCCTTCTGTTGCCTGTTTTTCAATACTGATGCTCAGCACCACCACAAAACAGACAAAGAGTGGCGAGAAGGAGGGAATAGCATATGTGTGTGTGCATGTCACACACACACACACACAAATCTTGAAAAGAGCCAATTCTAACAATAAAACTGGAAAATCCAAACAGAAGAAATCTAAATTTGTAGTATTTGGTCCATTTGCTGGCCAGCCAATAGTATCCAGATTTCCAGAATATTTCCACTGATGAAAACTTGACTTTTTTGTGTGTGTTTTATAAATATTTCTACTTGCATATCAATATCTGAAAGCTAATATTTCTACATGTTGAATTATTTCTTCATTCCCAGTTGCAGGACCTCTTTCCTTCTCTAAAATCTCTTCCATTCTTAATGCCGTTGAAGTATTCACAATTCCAAAGGATTTAAACAGTGACTCATTTATTTTAACCTTTTCTCCCTCAGATATTTCTTATGTCTATGTATTTCTTTTTGATTCTTGCCATCATAGACTTAGTTCTGCTCCTAAACACTCTGTGATTGGACTGTAGCTACAGCTACTGGACTATAGCCAGCTTCTTCCACTGATTTATACTCTGTAATCAATTAATTCATTTTGACTTCTATATTGACTCTCACTTGCCTTTCAAACCAGACTGAAACTCCTAATCACGAACACTAAGTTGATTTTACTCTCCTCAAATATAACTCTCAAATATATTTCTCAAATATATACTCTCCTCAAATATAACTTTCCATTTACATATTTTATACTGTTATTTCTTTAATGCAGGGTACTTGATAAGGAGTAGAAGGGCTGTTTCAACAAGAAACTTGATCCTTTCATTCAAAGACCTCCTTGAGCCTCAAAGAAGATTTTAAGACATCACTCTTTTCTAGCTCCACCTCTTGTAAGTCACAAAGGCCAATGGGTTTTTACCTCTACAACACAAGTTGAAATCTCTAGGACAAATAGCTTAACTAGGAATAGTGTGGCCCTAGGTTATGTCTAACTTTTAAACACCTCCTATAAAATGTTCCATCAAATTTGCCTCTGTGGAAAATTTGCATTCTCTCATGGAATGGGAGTATTTATAATATATTAACTATTCTACTTATCCACATTTATACATATGACACCAAATGTGTGAACGTATATGTTATCACTAACGACCTCATCCTGGCTAGCAGCCATCACAAGGAGAACATAACAGATTAATTCATTTTGATTTTTTAAATCATATGCATCTTAATATGAATTATTTGTTTAATTAACACCTTCTCCTTAACAAGGGGTATTAGCATATGGAAGCATCTGTTTAGCCTGGCCTCCTGATGTGAAATTCAAGATTTCTGAAATTTAAACATTTGGACAGATATATGAAGACACATTCAATGGCTAAAATCAGCATAGCTCCTCATTTAACCAAATGATTTTGTAGATAAAAGTGTAAAAAGAATCACAATTCATGAAGAGATAAAACCTCTTTCTGTGTATATTTGTAAGTACTATCTTTAGCTCCAGTGTTATAATAATTAATTATTCTGGTCACCACAACAATGGAGTTTGTTAAACAGCTGGATTAACTAGGAAAATACACATTAATTTGAAAAAGCTTTATGATAGAAATGACTTTGTAAAACCAGGTAAGAAAATTCAGTGGAGATTAGAAGGGCAGTTCTTTACACATGCATAGAGACTCAAAATTTGATTTATTTACTTAGGAATGATAGTAAGAGGAGAAAAAAAAATAATTTATTTACTTACTTTACTTTGTGATGCCCCATCTATGGTTCAGTGTTTGGACTCATATTAAGATTTCCACTATATAAGGCTGGTGCAAAATTGAGAAAGGATGAGGTATGAAAGGAAATAAAATCTGTATTTTAGGAGAGTAAAGTTTAAGATATCAAGGAACAGTGCCAGTTGTGAGCAGGCATGGAATCAAAAGTGGCAGGTGAGCAAAAATAACAGAGCAAGTGGCTGTGGTTGGTAGCACCTGGAGGGGATTCCCTGAGGTAAGAGATGAAAAGAGAAAATGCTTTCTTAAGAGTTCCTGTGACTCAGTTCATAAGTGGGGTGATGGGCATGGAGGTGAAACTCACTGATCAGGGGAAGTCCTTGCCGTTTAGGTCATTCACACCTCGAGACAGAAGTCAAAGACTCCATCTCTCCAGTTTCCTGTAATGCCCTTCTCCATTCCACTTTTCAGACTGATTGTAGAATTATCTTTCTTAAATACGTAGCTGCATTCATTTTCCTTCTTTAATCACCTTTTGATACTTCCTGATTGCTAGCAGGAATAAGTTAATCACTCTTAATTTGGCATTTAATTTGGGCCCATTTTCTCTAGGGAGAAAATGCCAGTGTTTAAAGCCAGGCTTTACAAAGTGCTAATTGTTTGAACTTAAGTCCCATCTCAAAGGGTCTTGTTATATTGTGAGAATTAAATGAGCTAACACATAAAGCATTTAGAACAATTCCCAACATACAGTATTCAACAAGACAAGTTAGCCATACACTCACACTCCTTGGGCCTAGACCATCTGTGGACTCTTCCCCTTGAGCCTTCCAGTCGCCATCGTTTCGGAGAGACTTTCTATAGTTCTCACCACACTAACCATAGTAAATAGTAAATGCAACAAGTTTGCCGATCCGATTGTGAGATCTTTGTGGGTAGAGATCATGGCTTTTTCATCTGGTACTCTCACTACCTGACCTAATTGCTTTCACATAGTCAAGGCTTAGTAAATATGATATTTAAGGATAGTCACTGGACAGAATTTTTAAAAAAAGTTTCAAAATCTCTGCAGTTCAATAAACTCAGAACTGATGTTGCTTAATTAATCACTGTAAGCCTAAAGAATTGTCTCTACTGATATAACAGGAGCTTGTGTATTCACTCTATCCTCATCAAAATTATGATCTGATCACAAAGAAAAAGAGTAGTTATTATATCAGATGGTAGAATTAATGTGAATAGAGAATAATATAAACTAGAATAACTAACTTGAAACAAAACAAAAACAAATCAGTGTAACATGGTAAATACAAATATCCTGAATTTGAGATTTTTAAAAAATTACATTTGAATTAGAGATTTAGCTTCAAATAAATTAATGGGAAAAATTTATGGGAATGTTAGTTGACCACAGGGTAGGTATGAGTCTCTTGTTTGATCTCACCATGAAGAGATTATATAATCTGATGGATGTGATAAAGTCCTTAAAACCAGGAGACAGGTATCTACTATAATTACTGGTTTCTTGTCTACAGAATAATCTTTGAGATAAGTAGCAAATGGAAGTGATTTTCAACTTAAATATTTTCTCCTACAAATTTTAGTTGATATGGAAGTTTTAACGATAGTATTTATGGTATCATTAACTTTACTAAACACCAAAAACTGATGACTGCTGGTTTCTCTTACCTTATACTGTGTTGTAATAGGTTTTCTATAGGAACTTTCCTTTTCTCCAATGTCAGTATTATTTACTTTCCTAGAAATAATGTAACACTGAGTTAAGTATGAATGCACATTGTTTTCATAGAATAACATACTACACAAAAAATTATAAACAATTTAGAACTTTAGGTTCAAATCCTTAAAATGGCTTCTAAACCAAAATTAAGCTATTAAGCTGTTATTTTTGTAGGAGGTATTTGCACATATAATCAAGGTTGAAATCTAATTACATATTCTAACTGAGCTTTACTGATAAGATCCCATTATTAAATCAGTCTTCTGTGTTTATTGGAGTTTTTCATTCGACCATCTGCTGTGAAAATCAAAACAAAATAGAACAATACTTCATTTGTGATTCCTGTTTAATCTACATACACTTTGTGCTCCCTATTACTCACTTCTTGATCTGATTTTTTTCATTTTATAATGCTACACTACCCAGCAGATGACCCCTGGACTACACTGATTGAGTTTCATTTACTCTAGTATATGCAGGTCCCATTCAATGACAGACACATAAACACAGGCATTTGTTGACTTTGACTTGAAAGGAAAGCAGTAAGGGTAAATTTTATCAGTTATTCCAAATTTACTGCCCACCCTGTCCTACCCTGCTTTTTGACCTGTTTGCTTCTGGTTTGGGGATCAATCATTAAAGAGTTCTGGAGAGAAATTTGGCAAAGTAAAGGGAGAAATTTCAGAAAACTTATTCTCCTGGTTCCCTCCTGAGAGCTTGCATCTGTCTGTGTATTTTAACTAGTCTTCTCAAGGTGATGGGATCTACACAACTTTCTCTCCTTGGCATTTCAACTTTTTGGACCAGGAATTATTGCTCTAGGTTTAATGGCATTTGCCATTTACATCAATCACATTAAGTTAATTTTTACATAAACACAGAGATGTATGGAAAAATTAGAAAAAGAATTAAGAAGAATATAATATTATAATCCTAGTTTAAGAGACAGTAAAGATATGATGATAGGCCTCCTTATTATATGCAAATATGAGCATGTACACACTGGGATAAAACTTGATTGACACTGAAATTATCAATGTGAGATGCTGTACAGAGGAATTTTTTTGTATATATCTATCTCTTAGGAATTAAGGTGAGCATTGGCAGGAGATAGCTGATGTGGGATTTTGGATCTTGTTCATCTCCCTTTCTCAGTAACACAACTAACATCTGGTAAAATTTGGCAGAAATGAAGTGAATATATGCACAAGGGACAATTCATACTGGTTGTGGGGGAGAAACACGCTAACAAAGAAACCTTGAACAGCAAGAACAGATGTACTTCCCACTGGCCAAATCCCCCATGGAGAAAGCAAACTTCCTGCACTAAGAGAAGTTCTGATTTGGTTTCTACAGTTAATGAGATACTAGAATTGATAGAAAAACAGATCAAAGACTATGGTTAAAGATGTCTAAGCACGATATGATGTGAAAATTTTCAGTTGGTTTTATCGGATATTGATAGTAAATGTGGTCTTATAAATTCCACGTTTAATCTATTTTTCAACTGAGATCCAATAATTTGCAGGTTATTACTCAAGAGAGAGGACATTAAAATTTTTCTATAAATGGCCAGATAGAACATATATTAAGCTCTGTGGGCCAAGAGACAAAATCAAGGACACTGGGTAGGTACTTATATAACAAAAGATAAAAGCAAGTGCCCACAAATTTTAAATTGATGAAATCCAAAATATAGTAATAATTATTGAGTACAATTTTTGTAGTACAGGTCTACTAACGAGAAGACTAGAATTATTTTGGGGATGAAGTAACAATTAGATTAATTGGAATTCAAAGTTAATTACTTATCATCATGGTAGAAGCGTGGTCTCATTCTAGGGTCTTCCCTTGCTTTTCAAAAACGAGAAACAAGTGATTTTCATTCTGTGTTGCACCAGGATGCTTCCTGCATCTCTCTTGTTTACACTCACAGACTGCCTTAGTAGTGTTATCGTGTTTCCCTGAAAATAAGGCAGGGTCTTATATTTATTGTTCCTCAAGAAGACACCCTAGGGCTTATTTTCAAGGGATGTGTTATTTTCCCCGCAAAATCTCAGCTTGCAGCACACACAGGATGGCCGGGACCTGACAGGGGGAGCCGACCTTGTTGGTGGGGCTTCCCACACCTTTCCGGTCACCTCTGGGATAGTAGCTGTCATGATGGGGCAGATGAGAAGGCCTGCTCTTCTTCTTTACCACTCTGTGATGAAATGCATGGGTTGTGCAGATACGCTGAGTAGCCATGCCCATCACCAGGTCTTATTTTCGGGGTAGGGTTTATATTGTGCAAATGCTTAGAAATCCTGCTAGGGCTTATTTTATGGGTAGGTCTTATTTTCGGGGAAACACGGTAGGTAACTTTTCATATAGGAATGCAGGTTAAAAGCACAGCATCTTTGGTAAGACTCTGGGTTTCAATTCCAGCTGAACTCATTGGCTATACGATCTTTGACTACTTACTTAAACTAATTAGAAGTTTCAAATTTCTCATATAAAAATGAGTTATAGTACTTACTTCACAAGGTTGTAGTAAGGCTTAAATGATTTAACAAATGAAAAGATTTAGCACAGTGCATGCCATATTGTAAAGCAGTTAATATAAATGTTATTTTTCTTTTGAAATTTTCAACCATATAAAAATGTAAAATTATTGTCAGCTCCTGGTCCACACAAAAGCAGATATAGGGCAAGATTTAGCCCACAGGACATAGTTTGTAGACTTCTGCTCTGATATTTAACACCGCCTGTCTTCACTCCCTACTTTTTAGACATAGAGACCTGTTTAAAATTCTTCCTTTTAATGTAAAGAGATTGAACAGCAGGAGGTAAGTGCTACCATACCAACCACATGGAAGGTTGTGTCAGTTTTTTCATCAGAGTAATTCTAATCTAAATCCTATTCAGAAACTTTGAAATGAGAAATTCTTTTTCTTCTATTGTCATCTATTGTCATTTATCAAGTATAACTATCCTTTAACATCTTTCCTCTATATTACTTTCATCTCTGTATTAGTCCATACATCTAGTGCCTTCATTTATATTCTCGTCTTAATATGAACTCTTTTTCTTATTTCAGCCAATTCCACAAAGTCAATACCGTATCTTCATTTTACTATCAGCCCACTGCTGTTTCCAGTCTGTTACATCATACTGTTCCTTACAATCAGCCTAATGTCACCCTCCATTGGGCTCCCACACATTCATTACTGACTTTGGGGCCCAGTTCACCCCATTGGTCAACACTCCAGTGCTTGCTGTTATCTTGAAGTTTTTTAATTTCCTTGTATCTGACATGTGTGACAAACTACTCTCATGGATTCTTGACCTCTTAGAAGCTAATTATCTTTCCGTCCATTCAACATCTTCCCATCACCTGGAACCATCCCAAAGCTGAAACATTATACTCCAACTTTTTACTTCTACATTATTCCCCATTGAGCATGTGTTCAGTGATCCAACAAAATGAGTTAGAGCATTATGTAAACTTATTATCAGGGTCTTACCCTGGTCTGGAGTGACCATAGACACTTCCCTGAGGAAGTGATACCTGCGCTGATTTGAGAACCATGAGTAAGAGTTACTTGTGTTAAGAAGCAGGAGAAGAGAAGGAGCATTTTAGAAAGAGAGAAAAGCATGGGTGAGTTGCTGGAGCAAGAAAGAGAGGCCAGTAAAGCCGAATCATAGACAGTTTGTATGGACAGGGTAGTGAATGGTGTGAGATTTGGCTTGAGAGGATGGCAGAGACCTAAGTTTAATAGCCATTGCTAAAGATTTTGCATATGTCTCCTTATGTTTCCAAAAGATCATTTGGCTTCAGTATGAAGTGTGAACTGAAGAGTAGGAAAGAAAAAAAGTAAGATTGAGAGATCAATTAAAAACCTATTTCACTAGAATTTTGTGTCAGTGGGAATAAAGAATAGTAGAGGTATTTGAGTATATATTTATAAGGAAAACTAATGGAACTAGGTAACTTATTGGATGTGGGGAGTGAAGATGATGAGATTTAAGCCTGACAGATAGGTGTATGGTTTGAGCTAACAGGTAAACAAATGATGGTGCCATAGTGTAAGGTGCACAAAAAGAGGAGCAGCTCTGGGAGCAAGAGAGCCACTGGTCGCAATGTGTTTAAAGCAGATATTAAGAAATCAAAATGGAGAATTTAGAAGGATGAGATGGATAAATACACTGGATGGTCTTCAGGACATATTATAGATTATAATTGAAAGAAATATGAGGGTAATGCGAGACATCATCCTAAATCCTTTTTCCTTTTCTCTTAGCAGTTCATATTCAGCTAGTTATTAAATCTAATCAACCCATTAGCTAAATATCTCTGCTGTCCATCCTCCTTCCTTCATCAGACTTCCAGTGCACTGGTTTGGATACTTATCATTTCTTGACTGGGTTGTTGGAGTCACCCTCACTATTCAGTCTCACCCATTTAATCTACCCATCCACACTGCCATCAAGGAAATCAAACTCAAAATTAAATTCACTTTATCCTTCTACTGCCCCAAATTCTTCAATTGCTTCCCACTCCCATGATGGATGAAATTTATATTTTGTATTTCTTTTCATGACAGGTATTATCTTCTATGATGTAGCCCTCACTACTCAGCTTTACCCTCAATCCCTCCACTGACGGCACTTAATCCTTCAGTTTCCTGGACCACAGTGCCCAAAGATTTCAAACTCCATCAAGGCTCTGCAATTGTGTGTTTGTTATTCATTTTTTGTCTCTTTCAACTGGAAGACATCTTGCCAGTCTTTGAGTCTCAACAAGTAAAAGAATTTTCTGGGTAAACAAACTTGTCCCTCTTGTGTTCTCACTGCTTTTTGCATTTTTCCTTGCCGGTGCTTATGTTTGCTCTTCAGGCTTATGTTTGATTTTCAGGCCACCCATTATACAGTAAATAATTTGAAGGCAAAGACTGTATCCTTATATTTTGGAATCCAAAATGCCCAGTATAGCCTGTGAGTAGGGGTTTAAAAAATTGGTTTTAAATGAATGGAAA